ATGTGGCTTGTTTTTATGATCAAATGAAGTAGGCTTCTGTTTTCCCCACACTGCACAAGTTATGCTTCCCTTTGAAAAAACATCAGCCAAACTAGAGATTGTTTTATTAATCCCTCTCTAGATTATAGCTGGAAAGTTTCATAAATTCTTTTCTTCAGTGGAGATTAAACTCTAAGATACAATGTGCTTGATTTTAATTTTACAAAAAAGGTTTGCTTTTCAAGCACAACATTTCACATTAAAAGGGGGAACTGCAACTATAGCAGTTACCCAGTTTAAGGTGAATGAATGGCCTCACAAGACACTGCAAGTTACATTTACATAAGACTCCAATAAAGATAAAAGCTACAATACAACAGGAGGGGGGAAAAAATACCACAGGTAATTAAGGTATTCTGCAACATGTAGGCATAGATTCTAGTGACCTTTTTAATTATTACACATTGAATACTATTGGTCTCCAAGATACAAGCCACCAAAATATATGTGAAGTCTCTCCGTTTCAGGGAAACCAAGGCATACATTTACTGAGAGATCTTTTATACTCACTGGTCACAGAGCCAAAATCTGTAAAGAGGTATAAACCATCCATCTCAACATTTCAATAAGCAGTACAGACAAGCTGGTATATGCACCTTATGTGATACAGTATGGCATGAGTTAAAATAAAGGGCTAACATTAATCCCAAGGATACTAACAGACTTTATTCCAAACTCAGGAATCAACAAGTCTTCCACATGTGGAAGGTTTGAGAATCTTAGGGATTTGAGGGAAGATAATGATATCTCAAGTACAATATGACATATTGGTTAGCAAAATAAGTACTACTGTTCTATTGTCTGCATTTCCAAAGGATGTGTTGAGGAATGAATAGGAGTTGTTTATATTCCTGATTGTAAAGCCCAGGAAGATGACTAGAGCACTGTCTTTTGCTTGTTTAGAAGACAAAGATTCTTTTTCAAAAATTTTAAAATTTGAGAGAGAAAACAAACACTAATTTATTGTTCCACTTATTTATGCTTTCATTAGTTGATTTCTTATTTATGCCCTAACTGGGGAATGAACCCACAATCAAAACAATGCTCTAACCAACTGAGTTACCTGGCCAGGGCAAAGACAAAGATTCTTAACTGTGAATAGCAAAATCATTTTAGTGACTCAGGAGTCCTCACACACCTTGTCCCTCACCAGCTCCCACCCCAAACTTTCCAACAAGGAAGTCACTGTACCTATAGTAAGGTAAGTGTTTCCTAACTTTTCCTTGACATGTTTAAAATGCTAAAAGAGGTCTCAGTAGAGAAATAATCTTTCCACATAAAGGTTGTAGATACCTGACTCATCTCCCCTCATCCTTGGCTACTCAGTCTCTAACATGCACCCTCAAACCTTATTTGCAGGGAAGTAACTGTTATTAGATAACAACCAAGAGTTGGTAAGCCTACTGTCCCCAGGTTAAATTTTATTTATTTATTTTCTCTTTATTGATTTTAGAGAGAGAGGAACAGAGAAAGGGAGAGAGAGATAGAAACATCAATGAGAGAGAACATTGACTGGCCACCTTCTGCATGCCCCCCACTGGGGATTTGGCCCACAACCTGGGCATGTGTCCTGATCGGGAATCAAACCGGTGACCTCTTGGTGCATGGGTTGACACTCAACCACTGAACCACATGGACCAGGCCCCAGTTTAAATTTTAAACCTAGCCCTGGCCAGTTTGGCTCAGTGGTTAGAGCGTCGGCCTGCGGTCTGGAGAGACCCAGGTTCGGTTCCCGCTAAGGGCACGTACTTCGGTTGCAGTTTGTCCCCGGCCCTGGTTGGTCGTGCGGGTGGTGGCCACTCGATGTGTCCCTTCACGTCGATGTTTCTATCTGTCTCTCCCTTCCTCTCTCTCCCTCCCACTCTATCTGTACAAAAAATGGAAAAATATCCTCTGGTGAGGATAAAAAAATAAATAAATAAATAAATAAATTTTAAACATAAACTTTAATCTTTAATATACTTAAAGTATCTACTTGATCTTGTCAGAGTAAAGATTAGATAAACTACCTCTTGGTTGGCAAACCCATTGGCATTATGTCATTTTTAAAAAGATTTTTTATTTATTTATTTTTTTAGCGAGAGGAAGGGAGAGAAACATTGATGTGAGGGCAGAACATCGACTGGCTGCCTCCTGCACACCCCCTACTAGGAACTGAGCCTGAAACCCAGGCATGTGCCCTGAAAATCGAACCAGCAACCTCATGGTGCATGGGATGACACTCTACCCACTGACCACACACACTGGCCAGGGCTAATGTGGTTTACTTTTATTTTTATTTATTTTTTTCTCATCTGAGGACATTTTTGCATTTATCTTCAGATAGAAAGGGAGGGAGAGAAGAAGGAGAGAAACATCAATGTGAGAGAGAGACATCGACTGGTTGCCACCCACATGACCCCAACCGGGGCCAGGGACAAACTGCAACCAAGGTACGTGCCCTTAGCGGGAACTGAACCCGGGTCTCTCTGGTCCATGGGCCGATGCTCTAACCGCTGAGCCAAACCGGCCATGGTTAACGTGGTTTACTTTTAAAACTATTTGTGACTTAATATATATATATATTTTTTTATCCTCACCCGAGGACATTTTTTGATATTTTGTTCAGATAGAGTGGGAGGGAGAGAGAGAGAGAGAAACATCGATGTGAAAGGGACACACCGAGTGGTCGCCACTCACACGACCCAACCAGGGCCGGGGACAAACTGCAACCGAGGTACATGCCCTTAGCGGGAACCGAACCCAGGTCTCTCCAGACCGCAGGCCAACGCTCTAACCGCTGAGCCAAACCGGCCTGGGCTGTGACTTAATATTTAAAGTGGGTTTCTGGTAGGCACTAAATAGTGGGCCTTCTTTTTTTATCTAGTTGACAATGTCTTTTTATCGTATTTAATACATTTATATTTAATGTGAGAATTAACGTGCATAGACTTAAATTAACCTAATATTCTATTTATCCCATCTGTTCTTTCCCCCCTTTCCTCTTTTTCTACTTTGTTTGGAGTAACTGAGTATGTTTTATTATTATTTACCTTCTTTATTGGCTTATTAGCTGTAACTTTGTTATTTAAGTGGTTCCTTGAGTTTACAGCATATATCATTAACTTATCAGCCTAACTTCAAGTGTTATTATACCTCTTCATATACAGTAACAGAATCTTATAATAGTATACTTCCATTTTCTGTAGCAGTATCAAATTCAGTGACGAGATTGTCTTCTAGGTGCTCTTGGTAAACATATTTAGTGAGTAGGTAAGGTGGTTTTACATAATAAATCCACATCAGCATTCCTAAGTTCATATACTTTGGACACTGCAGAATATGAAGGAATTTCTTATTTTATGTAGGCCACCTTTGAGTCAGGTTTTACTCAACCAACCAAGCAAACTGTCAAAAGCACTCTAAATGAGTTCACACATTAAAGCCAGAATCAGGCCCTGGCCAGGTAGCTCAGTTAGTTAGAGCATCATCTCCATATGCCAAGGTTGTGGGTTTGATCCCTGGTCAGGTCACATACAAGAAACAACCATAAGTGCATACTGTAAGTGGAACAACACATCAATGTTTCTCTCTCCCCCTCTAAACCAATAGATTAAAAAAGATAAAGCAATGGTATTCAATTCATGGTTTAACTTACTTTGCATTCTTTGGATAAACCCAATGTAGTCATGAAGTTTTCCTCTTTATATATTGCATGTGTTCAGTAGAAATCTGGGAAATATCTGCAGGATCCTGGTAAAATATAATTTTGGGTCAAGCACATTAAATAATATGGGCTTATTATTGAAAAAAAATAAAACCATGGTATTCAATTCAGGGTAAACCCATATTATTTAATTTGTTTGAACTAGAATTGGAGTTGGGAGGACCTATAGGAGGCGTTTGCACACCCTGTTAGTTATTGTTAAAACCACTTATAGGGAGAGATATTTTCTATCTGCAACAGAAATAAATTTCTAATTTACCATTCTAGTAGGAAGATCTCCCCAGGCGGCCACTCAGCCGATGAAAAGCCAAGAAGATACTTCCAGTTCCCGGTGTCCTCCAATAGACTGTTTTCAACAGCCCCTCTAACTGCTCCCTCACCCTTTCCTCTTTAAAACAGTTTCTTTCCTTTGTCCCTCAGACTTGCCTATGGTTCTGCCCTAGCCTGCGTATCCATAATTGTAATTCTTTGTTGCTCCTGAATAAACTTATTTTGCTGGAGAAATACTTGGCTGTAATGTTTAAGGTCCACGGGAGTAGGATACACATTCCCATTCCAAAAGAGAGACATTGGAAGAAGAAAGGGGGTAATGGGGTCCCTAACAAATCCAAATTTTAGCAAAGCAAATTCAATTGGATCTTAAGGCCCGAGAATCATCTTTGGTTCAATGCTTTGCCACCCATGCATTATAGGTAGAATCATAACACTAGCTGGAATGAGGACATCAAATCAATAACTTCATGCAGTATCTTCAGTAGAATGTAAAGCTCCACAAAGAAGGGCATTTTTGTCTGTTTATATATTCCCTATACCCAGCATGCAGAACAGTGTCTGACAGGTAGTAGGAAGTAAACATCTATCTGTTGGGTGAATGGAGTGATCAATCCCTTTATTTCGAAGGCACTCTCAGCCTGGTTGTATAATCATGAGGAGTGGGTTTTGAGCTTGGGAACTCACCGGATTCATCAGTTAGGCCACAATACTGAACAAAACCCCTTCCCTTTCTCAGGTTAAAATTTTTAAAAAATTTTATTTTCAATCAGTATTGACATACAATATCATATTAGTTTCAAGTGTACAAGATAGTGATTATACATTTATATACCTTGCGAAGTGACCCCCTCCCCCATAAGTTTACTTCCGATCTGACACCACCTCTAGTTTTTACGGTGTTATTGACCATATTCCCTGCGCTGCACTTTACATCCCAGTGACTTTTTATAATTGACAACCCGTACTTCCTAATCCCTTTCACAAAAATATGGAACACCTCCTGGCATTTGGGTCATCCTTGCGCAGGGGCCACGCTAATCTCTGCATGGGTCCAATTTTAGTACCGGTGCTGCTGGAAAGGAGCAGTCTCCGAGATTTTGCTTCCTCCCCTTCCCCCTTCAAGAGACAGCCAAGCTTCTCCTGAACAACCGTATTTCCCATTTTCCTCCACCCCGATCATAACAAGAACTTCCTAATCCCGCCGTTTTACTCTCTGGTCAATACCATCTTCAGCGGGTCTCTCAACCCTACACCGGCCTCCAACGCCGCTTCCTCCACTAAGCGCCCTCCATCCAGAATTCTCAGGGTAACAGCCGGTTCCCCTTCAACTGTTCGGGTTCGGCTCGGGTTCCCTCCCGTGGAACTCACTCCCTAAGATGACCGTGTCCACTCAGCTTCTCTCTAGCCTTAGGCTCAAAGGCCTTGACGTCAGGGGTCATCTCTGTCCATCCTGAGGGGAGATCCGGGCTGGCCTGAGCTTCGGAGCAGCTAAGCAGGTCTGTGTAGCGCCCCTCCCTGGTCAGTGTTTCATATTCGGGGGTCAGTGGTTCAAGTGGCTCGGAAATGGGGTGACAGAGGTCGTTTTCAGTTGCTTCTTACCGTTTGGGGTCTTCCCCGGAAAAGAAGGCGGAAGGGAGATCACGCCCGCGGTAAAGCCGGAGGTTGGAAAACGGCGGCGCGGGATGCACAGCCTCTTCCCCCGCCAGGCGATTCTACATCCTAGAGGACGCCGGGGGCCAGCGCGCCAGACGCCGGAACGACGGGCGCTGACCCTCGTCGGCCGCCGTCCTCCCAGCGGCCGCGGGTCCGGTTGGCCGCGGAGGAGGGGCCGCGGGGTTGCGGACCCCGAGGCCACGTGTGAGAGAGATGGTTTCGTGATTTGTCTCCAGTGGGAAGGCGGAGGTCAGTGGGCAGGTCAGTGTCGCGTTCCCGGCGTGTTTCAGGGCGCGTGGGTTTGTTGTTGTTGTCGTTCGGGAACCGGGGAGCGCGCGGGAACCCTTGCCAGGGGGTTCCGTGTTGGGGGTTCCCCGTGGAGGGGGAGCTCGTGGGGTTCCGTGTTGGGACGAACACCTGGCATGTCTCTGTTGGAGAATCGCGTTTGGGGTGTCCGGTGGTTGGGGGAAATGGGGGGCGTGTCCGTGTTGGGGACCAGCCTGCTTATTGCTAGTTGCATGCTTAGTGTTAGACATGGGGTTCCTGGCCCTCCTGCGTCCCAGTTTACTGTCTAGTCCTTAGGATATTTGTGTTCGGGTTCATTCCGACCCAGGTAACGGCACCCCCATCCTTCTAAATACTCCTCCAGAAAAAAACTTGTTAAAGCTCAGTATATTTCTTTTTCTTTTTTTTTTTTATCCTCACCCGAGGATATTTTTCCATTTTTTGTACAGATAGAATGGGAGGGAGAGAGAGGAAGGGGGAGAAAGAGAAATATCGACGTGAAGGGACACATCGAGTGGCTGCCACCCGCACAACCGACCAGGGCCGGGGACAAACTGCAACCGAGGTACGCGCCCTTAGCGGGAACTGAACCCGGGTCTTTCAGGACCGCAGGCTGACGCTCTAACCGCTGAGCCAAACCGGCCAGGGCATATTTCTTTTTCTTTATTCATTGATTTTTTGAGAGAGAGAGAGAGAGAAAGGGAGAGAAACATCGATTTGTTAGTCTACTTATTTATGCGTTCATTGGTTGATATGTGCCCTGACTGGGGATTGAAGCCGAAACCTTGGTGTATCCGGGCCATGCTCTAACCAACTGAACTACCTACCAGGCCAGGGCAATATATTTCATTTTTAGTGTTGAGATCAGGTGTGTGTGTGTGTGTGTGTGTGTACTGATAAAATTTAATCCTGTTTAACATATTTTATTGTATTTATAGGGATGACATTAGTTATATAGGTTTTAGGGTACAATTCTATAATACACAATCTGTACATTGTATTGTGTGTTCACCACCTCAAGTCAAGCCTCCTATCACTATTTACCCCCATTTACTCTCTTCTACCAGTCCCACCCCCTTATCTAACATATTATTATAAACATTTCCATATTACAAATTCTTTGGAAGTTTTCTTTTAAATTTGTCTTTATTGATTTGAGAGAGAGAGAAAGAGAGAGAGAGAGAGAGAGAGAGAGAGAGAAACATCTATTTATTTTTCCACTTATACCTTGACCAGGATCTAACTGCAAATTTAGCATTTTGGGAAGATGCTCAAACCAACTGAACTACCAGGCCAGTGCTCTACTCTTCTTTTTGAAACTGCTGCGATTATGTTTCATCAAGTGGTTGCTTTAATTTTGGTAGTTCTGACAGAGATTTAGGTACAACACACTTTCAGGCACCTGTGATGGATTTCCTTTAACTCAAGTTATTTGTTTGTTCAGTCAGCAGACGTTAAGCCCTGGCTGGTTTGGATCAGGGGTTGAGCATCGACCCATGCACCAAGAGGTTGCCGGTTTGAGTCCTGGTCGGGGCACATGCCCAGGTTGTGGGCCCAATCCCCAGTGGGGGGCATGCAGGAGGTGGCCAGTCGATGTTCTCTCTCATGGATGTTTCTCTCTCTCTCTCCCTCTTCCTTCCTCTCTCTCTAAAATCAATAAAGAAAAAGTTTTAAAAAAAATATTACAGCCTCTTCTGGTTAGAAGTTGCTAAATGGTCAGAGCATCAGCCCTGAACCTAGGAGTTATGAGTTCTATTCTTGGTCAAGGACACATATCTGGGTTGTAGGTTTGATCCCTGGCCCAGTCTGGTATGTGTGGCAAGCAACCAATCGATGTATTTCTTTCACATCTCTCTCTCTCTTTCCCTCTCCTATCTTTTCCCTTCCCCTTTCCCTCTCCCCTATTCCTCCCTCCCTTTCACTCTCTAAAAATCAGTGGAAAAAAATATCCTTGGGTGAAGATTAACAAAACAAAACAACAAAAATATTGCAATTGCCCTGGCCTTGGTCTTTAATTGAATAATTGCCCCAATGTAATAAACAAAACATTTAAGAGTATGTGGGCACTCCTAGATAGTTTTTAAATTTTTTTTATTTAATTTAATTGATTTTAGAGAGAGAGAAGAAAGGGGAGGTGGGGAGAGAGGGAAAGAGAGAGGGAGAAACATCTATTTGTTGTTCCACTTATTTATGCATTCATTGGTTGATTGTTGTGTGTGTCCTGACTGGGGATTGAACTTGCAACCTTGGTGTATTGGGGTAGTGCTCTACCAACTGAACTACCAGGCTAGGGCTCCTAGGTGGTTTTAAGGCAGTTTCCAGAGCTACCAGTTCTATACACTGTCTTTTCTAAAATTGATCTATGTGAGAACCTGGCAGAGGACAAGACCATGAGCTGGTTTTTGTTTCCCATCTCCCCTTCCACATCCGCTGTGTTCCACCTTTACCAAAAAAAAAGGCATTCCTACTGCCCTTTTTTTTTTTTAATCCTCACCTGAGGATACTTTTCCATGTATCTTCAGATAGAGTGGGAGAGAAAGAGAGAGAAACATCAATGTTAGAGAGACCTTTGATTGGCTGCCTCCCGCATGACCGTGATCAGGGCCAGGGCCCTAACTGTAACTGAGGTACTTGCCCTTGACCGGAATCGAACCCGCAACTCTGGTCTGCAGGTCAACGCTCTAACCACTGACCCAAACTGGCCAGGACCCTCCTGCCCATTCTATATCTCCTTTAGGAGCATGGGCCTCATGATGTAGAAGCGTCAGGGTGTTAAAGACACTGATGAAATATCAGGGCTTTATGTTAAAATGAGTCCACATGGCAAGAGAGAGCTGTGGCCCCAGGCGCATATTCTCTTATAGCTGAACTTGTTCTTGAACCCACAGGTTCTAGTCTACAGGAACAAGACATTTTCAGTGCTAGAAGAAGGAGGTTCCAGTTTGGGGGATCATCGTTTCTGACAGCAGCCTGATCTGAGATATGTGACCACAGCATCCTGGCAGGCCTGGAGTCACAGAGGACAGAGCACACCCCGAGTAGCCAGTCCTTTCTTCAGAACTTGAGAAAATGACCAAGGACCAGGTGAGGTTTGTTTTACCTATTTTTTTTGTTGTTAAACCTCACCTGAGGATATTTTTTCATTGGTTTTTAGATAGAGTGGAGGGGAGGGTTGGGGAGAGAGAGAGAGAGAGAGAGAGAGAGAGAGAGAGAGAGAAACATCGATATAAAAGAGACACATTGTTTGGTTGTCTCACCCAGGTGTGTGCCCTTGACAGGGAATCAAACCTGAGACCTTTCGATCCGCAGGCTGACACTCTAACCACTGAGCCAAACTGGCCAGGGCTGTTTTACCTACTTTTTATCTTTTGCTTCCCGGTGGATATATGGAAGCTTCTAATGTCTGATGAAATGAGACAGTATATGTTGATAAAAATCAGGATCTGTCTGAAGATAATTTTAGGTTATAATCTTAAAATCAGGACAAATTAGACAGTATGAAATATGTAGGTCATGGGTCCATATAGCGTTCTTAAGGTTGGAACATCAGTAAGTGTAAGTCAGTTGCCTTAGCTTTGAACTTATGTCTACTTTTCTTGGCAGCTGTAAGAACAGTATCATTCATGTAATAGAGGCATAAGATGCTTTCTTTGGCTTTTTCTTATTATGTTCCTCAGAGTAAGCTAAGGGGCTAATGCCAGAGCAGAACTTGATTGGACAAAATTTTTCAAAAGCAATATGCCTTGACAGTAGAACCTTCTGGAAATTTGAGTCTACCCAGAAATAAAGCTTGGATAATCCAGTAGAATGAATGAGCTGCTTTGAGTGGTCTTTCATGTAGAAGTCTCTCAGCCAGGTTTTTGTTGCTGATTTGGCAAGGAGACAGCTGAAAGTTCCAGCTGAGAACAGCTTGGGGTACAGATGTTGACAAAAATGCCCCCTATATACCTTCTGAACCCCAGGTTAAAAAATGAAGTCAGAGCCAATTTTTCTTGTTTTGGTCTCTGTATTTTTTTATCCTCACCCGAGGACATTTTTGCATTTATCTTCAGATAGAGTGGGAGGGAGAGAAGGAGGAAGAGAGAGAGAAAAACATCGATTTGAGAGAGACACATCTACTGGTTGCCACCCACACGACCCCAACCAGGGCCAGGGATAAACTGCAACCGAGGTAGGTGCCCTTAGTGGGAACCGAGCCCAGGTCTCTCTGGTCTGTGGACTGACGCTCTAACCACTGAGCCAAACCAGCCAGGGCTGTATTTTTAATTACTCAAATTATACATGGCTATATTTGCATGGAAGAGATCAAGCAAACACAAGGATTTGCATAAAAAGAGAACATCTTCTTTCATCATTTTCCTGCCCAACCCCCAACCCAAGGAATAACAAATACTAATAGTTTTGGTCTCTAGCTTGTTTCTTTTTGTAATTGACATGTGGTAGAATATATCTATATACATTTTTATATGCATACTTATGTGTGTCTATACATATATAATGTATATATTTTTAAGACTTATTCCCCTGTCTGGGATCATATTATATATATTACTTGGGGTTTGATTGTTTTCATTTAAGATATTACTTTGATCCCTGCTGGACTTTGATCCCTGCTGGTGTGCGTCAGTGGTTGAGCATCGACCCATGCACCAAGAAGTTGCTGGCTCAATTCCTGGTCAGTGCACATGCCCAGGTTGTGGGCCTGATCCCCAGTAGGGGTTGTGCAGGAGGAAGCCAATCATTGTTTTTCTCTCACTTCGATGTTTCTATCTCCTCCCCCCAATCTTTCACTCTATCTTAAAAAACAAACAAATAAACAAAAAACCTTGAAGATTATTGATATAAGTATGTTCGCATCTACGTCATTGATTTTAATGTTTGCATAGTATTTTATAGTAGGTAGGTACGTCTGCTTTTGATGGATGTTTAGATTATTGGTAGTTTTTCACTGTTGTAAACAAATAATGAACATTCTTATTCCATACTGTTTTATGTATGCAAATAATATTCTAGTACTCCTTTAGGCTAGGAAGAACTAATTAGTAGAATTCGATGGGGCAGTGGTCTGAATGTTTATGTGCCCCCCAGATTCAGATGTTGAAATCTTGACCCCCAAAGATGATGCTGTTAAGAAGTGGGGCCTTTGGAAAGGACGTAACTTCTGAGAGTGAAGCCTTCATGAATGAGATCAGTGTTCTTATAAAAGAGACCTCACAGAGATTCCTGAACTTTCCACCATATGAGGACACAGTGAGAAGGAGCCCACTATGAACCAGAATACAACCATGTTGTCTCCTTGATCTTGGACTTTCCAGATTGTACAACTGTGAAAAATAAGTTTCTGTTTCTGTAAGCTACCCAGTCTGTGGCATTTTGTTACAACAACCTGAGTGGACTAGGAAGGACATGGTCCTGCGGTATGTGAAACAGTCACAGTGTACAGCACATCATGAGGGAAATGATCAGAACATGTTCCTGGCCCTGGCCAGTTTGGCTCAGCGGTTGAGCATTGGCCTGTGGACCAGAGAGTCCTGGGTTCAGTTCCTGCTAGGGGCACGTACCACAAAAAAAAAAGAACATGTTCCTGTCCCCCTATTCTACATCATCTGTTCTGCCTCTGACTGCACTGACATTTGTTATTATAGGGATTGTTATCATTCGAGGATGTGGCCGTGGGCTTCACATGGGAGGAGTGGCAGTTACTGGATCTGTCTCAGAAGGACCTGTACAGGGACGTAATGTTGGAGAACTACAACAACCTAGTGTCTGTAGGTAAGGAAATACAGCTTTCTTCAGTTTTCATAGATTCCCACACTTTAATACTTGGTGCCAGAGTATTCACTGATTTCCCTTTAACAGGATATGAAGCTACCAACCCAGATCCTCTCTTCTGGCTGGAGCAAAGAGGACCAGCATGGATAGCAGGGGGGATAGCCCGTAGTCCAACCTGTCCAGGTGAGTGAGTGAAAACCACGGAAATGGAGAGAGAGGACACTGAGTTTTCAGCTGGTCAGTAAACGGTTGACATATTTGAAGTGTTTAGAGAACTTTTCTTACCCTAGTTGATGATCCAGAAACTGAGCACCTTTCCACATCTCTGTTCTTTATTAGAGCTGCTCTTCTTTGCTGGCCAAGGAGGGATGATCTGGTGTCTTCCTTTTTTCAATTTTCTGGATCTGGTTACAGTCTCTGTCATCTAGGACCTTGGTTTCTTACCTGGTGCTATTCTTTCCAGCACATTCACATCTTCCCCTGTTTTTTCTGTGGCAGGCTCACTTCCTGTTCTCCACCTCTCACTACCCATACAGCTCGCTTTGCACTTAACACTGCTCTCTACTTGCCCCTTTTTAAAGGGCCAGTATTCCTCCCTGACTGTCCACCTTACCTTAGCTAATAGGAAAACCACACACCTCGTCTCTCAGGGCATCTCTGTCTACATATTTAACCTCTGCTTCCCCAGCTTCAGCTTGCTGTTTTGTGAAATCTTCTGCTTGGTTCTCATATCAAAAATTTAATTCATTCTCAAGGCTTGAGCCCTCTATTTTCTGTGGGAGAATCCCACATTGACTTCTGCTACTACTATCTAATCTGCACTCGAATGCCCTGTATGTAGCTGCCCTCTGGAGTCCTACTACTTCCTCTCTGCAAAACCAGGTCCTAAGTAATGTCTTCATCATTATAGGGTATATTTATACGTATGGAAGATTTAAGCTCTCGGTACTCTGACAGATGTTTCTGAGTTCTTATCTTTCCATACCCTGATCTACTCCCTAATTCTGTATTTGTCCTGTGTCCAGGATAATTATCCAGTGAGCTCCTTTTTCCGTCAGCTTCAGTGTGAGAACCTGAGGTCATTTTCATCCCGGCGAATCCTATTACTTTTTGTACATTTTACTTAGGTTCTGCTCTCCTGCTCTGCACCCTGGTGCCTGGTCACCCTTGAGTTACCTTGAGTCATCCCTTTTTGCTCTGTTATTTCTGAAAGTCTCTGCTGTTCTTATTAACCTTTGTTGTTTTGAAAAGGCCTTTGAAAACTTCCACAATTTCCACCTCAGAGTGGGCCATGGTCATTTAGACTTGCATTGCTTATAGCTACATACATTTGCTGGTTTCATTGTTTCTGGTGTTCTGGCTGCTTCTCTCCCGGGGGGACAGGGGCATTAAAGCAGTGGAACTTGATATGAAGACATGAGGAATGAGTGTTGGTTGAAAACACAAGGTGTCCACATGTACATATTTAGAGGTTGGGAAGGTGAGAGCTCAGCCAAGTAGAATGAGAGGTATGCGGGCTCTGGTAGGAGGGTCAGAAGACGATGTCCCAGAAATAAGTGATGAACTTACTCCAAGGAGGAGGAAGTGATGTATTTATTTTTTTAATCTTCATTTGAGGCTGTTTTTATATTTTTTTAGAGAGCGAGAGGGAGATAGAGAAAGAAACATCGATTGGTTGCCTCCCATATGCACCCTGACTGGGGATTGAACCCGAAATCTGGGTATGTGCCCTGACAGGGAACCAAACCTGCAACCTTTTGGTGTACTTGATGATGCTCCAACCAACTGAGCCACACCAGCCATGGTGGAAGTGATGTATTTTATTGACTATAAGATAACCTGAGGACTGGCATCTCTGCATTTTATTATGTTGCGTTTTCACACCCAGACACTGCCTTCTTTCACTTGAAGCTCTTTTTCTCTTCATGATGTTTCCGAGCGCATCTGGAACCTCCTTTCCTGACTTTCTGTCTACTATGCATCTACACCACACCAACCCAGCTACGATCATATCTTTTATTGTATTATTTTACTGGTTGGTATGAGGCTTCTCTTTATGGAGAAAAAGGTCTGCATCTTACTCCCACTTAATGTAGACAGCGTTACTTAACATCCAGTCATCACAACTTTCTTGAAAGCAGGTTTTATTTTAATTTTTGCTTAAATTTTGTCTTTTTAATTAGGGATGTGTATAAACTCTTTGGGACTTTTTAAAACTACAAGCTTTGTCTCTGGAGCTTTGGCTTCAGATTTGTTAGATACGTGGAGTGATCTGAGCATATGAAGTTTGAAAGGCTTGTCGGCAAATTCTGCTTTGATCCCTGTAATTGATGAAGCACCACACTCATACAATCCAAGAGAGATTCAGATGTAATAAAGGACAGAAAATACCTTCCGAGTATAAAAGTCCCATTTGGAAAGGGTTGACGGGTATATAAAATTTTAAAATGTTCAACATTTGATTATGAGGCCTAGATAGACAGGGGTTCCTTTACAAAATAGGAGAAAATTGAACTTCAGTAAAATGTTACAGAAAGAGTAAAGTGCTTTTTCAGGGGAAGCATGATAAAATAATTTCTGCAAGAAAGATAGCGGGATTTTGAAAACAAATGCTGATGGAAGGCCTGTGTGTCAGTAACGTTATTAAAAGGAGACTTTAGAGATGGAAATGAGGAAGGCGATATGTGAGATTCTTTTTTTTTTAATATGTTTTTTATTTTATTTTATTTCTTTTAGAGAGAGAGGAAGGGAGAGAGAGAGAAACATTGATGTGAGAGAAAAACATTGAAGTTTGTTGAATGAATGGATCATTTCTCTTCGTTTTCTTTTGTTCTATTTTAATGATAGTTTGGTTTTTTTCCTCCTTCTTTCCCCATTTTTCATGGTCCTACTTGGAAAGAAGCCCAAGCAATATTTATTAATTGTAAACAGTCTACATTATTTCTAAAGTAGTTTTTCCTTTTGCTGCTTTATAATATTATATTTTTTCACAGAGCATAGGATACATTTCTGTAGGTTACATATCTCTTAGACTGAGATTCTTATAAGAGCTAGTTCAAACCATGGCATTTTTTAATCTTGCCCCCGCCTAAAATTATCATGGATGTTTTTATTGTTCTTTTTCCTAGAAGAAATATGGGAGATTGATCATATACAGTGGCACCCAGAAAACCAAAATGAGATTAAAACTTTGGAAAGATGTCAACAAAGTTATGCACTTGGAAATAATTTCGATGTATGCAAAAGTCTTGTTTCTTTAACAGCAAGACACAATAAGTTTGGCTCTCATTGTAAAAATTTGAAATCACATTTAGGTTTTATTAACCAGAATAGAAGATATGCAGGAAAGGATTCTAATGAGTTTATTGGTGATGGGAAGTCATTTCTCTACCTCCAGCATGATAAAACTCCTCCTGGAATGAAATGCCATGGACGTGTTAAACCCAATAGCACTAAGTCACAGCTCAGTGACTATCAAAAAACTTACCGAGGAGAGAAAGCACATGCATGCAGTGAGTGCGGGAAAGCTTCCTCCAAGAAGGCACAGCTCATGAGACATCAGAGAACAGAAAGAGGAGAGAAGCCCCATGGGTGCGGTGAATGTGGGAAGACATTCAGGAGGAAGATTCAGCTCACTGAACATCAGAGAACTCACACAGGAGAGAAACCCCATGAATGTAATGAGTGTGGAAAAGCCTTTTCCAGAAAGTCACAGCTTGTGGTACATCAGAGAACTCATACAGGGGAGAAGCCCTACCGATGCAGTGAATGTGGGAAAGCCTTCAGCCGGAAGTGCCTGCTCAGGAGACATCAGCGGTCTCACACTGGGGAGAAACTCTATGGATGCAGCGTGTGGAGGAAAGCCTTTGCCCAGAAGGCGTACCTCATTGCCCATCAGAGACTTCACACAGGAGAGAAGCCTTATAAATGCAGTGAATGTGGAAGAACCTTCTTTTTTAAGTCAGACCTGACCAAGCATCAGAGAATTCACACAGGAGAGAAGCCTTATGAATGCGGTCAGTGTGAAAAAGCCTTCAGAAGCAAGTCAAAGCTTATTCAGCATCAGCGAACTCATACTGGAGAGAGACCGTATGCATGTCATGAATGTGGCAAAACCTTTGCCCACATGTCGGTCCTCATTAAACATAAGAAAACTCATACAAGAGAGAAAGCTGTAAGTTCACTGACAGTGGAGAGAGCGTCCTCAGGGAGTCATAGCTCTTTATACAGGAGTGAACTCTCTCAGGAGTAAAGTTCTATGAACACAGTACCTGTGGAAGTGTCTTCTTCAGGAAGTCAGCCCTTATTAAACATCAGTGAACTTTTAGGGGATAGAAAAGTGGTGATTGTGAAACAGCCTTTTCCAGGAAGTCAAGCCTTAGTAGGTAATCAGGAATTTGCACAGGGATTAAGCCTTGCAAATGCAGTGAGTGTGACAACACCTCCAGTAATAAAGTATGTCTTATATGTTACAGATATCGTGTAGGAAAAAGTCCTCTGGTACCAGAAATGTGGAAAAGCCTTTAGCAGGAATTCTAACATGTTATATGTCAGAGCTCACTTAGGACAGAAAAGCTGTGGGTGCAGTAGTTGCAGAGAACACTTCTCTGAGAAGTTAAACTTACTCAGTGTCAATGAAATCACACTGGGCAGAAATGCAGCTATTGTAGGGAAGCCTTTGCCTGGAGGAGGTGATATCACAGTTGGTATCCAAGAATTCTCCCAGGTCCAAGACCTTAGGAAACAATGTGATCGTTTTCTGTTTTTTTTTTTTTTTCTGTTGTTGATTTGAGAGAGAGAAAGGGAGGGGGAGAGAGAGAGAAAAACATTGATTTGTTGTGTCACTTATTGATGCCCTCATTGGTTGATTCTTGTATATGCCCTGACTAGGGGATTGAACTTGCAATCTTGGCATATCAGGACAACATTCTACCCAACTGAGCTACTGATGGTTTGTGGTGATAAATTGTACCTCATCACATGTCAGAGAAGCATAGAAAGACAACTCTAGAGACACTGAATGTGGAAACCATTTTTAGTAAAATGTGGAAGAACTGATAGGAAAAAAAAAACACCCTGAAAGCAATAAAAGGTGAATATTCTAACACCAGACTAACTCATGTATCACAATTTTATACCTTGGGAATCTGAGAAAGACTTCTCTAATAAATGGAATTTTCTTGGGCGCAGGAATTGTGTTAGGTAGTGAAAATCTCTGAATATAATGAAAGTAGAAGTACAACTGTATTAGTTTCTTGTGGCTGCTGTAAACAAATTACCACAAATTTGGTGACTTAATACAGATTTAGTATCTTACAGTTCTGGAGGTCTGCACTCTGAAATGCATCTCACTAGGCTAAAAGCAAGGTGCTGGCAGGGCTGTATTTCTTTTTGGAGGCCCTAGGGAAGAATTTGTTCATTTGTTCTTCCAGCTCCTAGAATCGGCCCGGATTTCGTGGCTTGTGACCACTTTCCATCCTCAAAGCCAATAATGACTGCTCAATTCTTTTGTGACTCTAATACTGATTCTTCTGCCTTACTCTTCCACATCTAAAGACCCTATGATCACATTGGTCCCACCAGATAATCCAGGATAATGTCCCTATCTTAACATCAGTTAATTAGCAACTATAACTCCCATTTGTTACCTTGATTTTCCTTTGTCTTAGAACTTAACATCTTCACCAGTTCTGGAGATTAGGATGTAGACTCTCTGGCCTCCAGTGATTCATGTCCATCCCATATGGAAAAATGTGTGCACCCTATCTTAACGTCTCCAGATGTCTTTTTTTTTTTTTTTTTAATACATTTTTTGTTTTTTATTGATTTTAGAGAGAGAGGAATGGAGAGGGAAAGAGAGCTAGAAACATCAATGAGAGAGAATATAGATTGGCTGCCTCTTGCATGCCTCCCATTGGGGATCGGGCCCATAACCTGGGCATGTGCCCCGACTGGGAATCGAACCGGCGATCTTTTGGTGCATGGGTCGATGCTCAACCACTGAGCCACACTGGCGGGGCTCCAGATGTCTTAATCCATCACAGCACCAACTCAAAGTCCAGGATCTCATCTAAATGTTACCAGTTTAAAAGTGCCATATATGTAAATCTGTACCAGTGAGAGCTCTGGGTACAATTTATTACTTAAAAAAAATTTTTTTTATTTAATGATTTGAAAGAGAGAAACATCAATTTGTTGTTCCATTTATATATGCATTCATTGGTTGCTTCTTGTATGTACCTTGACCAGGGATCTAATCCACAACCGTGATATATTGGGACGATGCTCTGTAAACAATTGTGCTATACCCAGCCAGAGCCTGGGTACAATCCATTCTGAATCATATTTCTTCTCTGTGAACCTGTAAAACTCAAGAAACAATTATATGGTCTCAAAAATATTTAATTTCATCTTCTACTTTAATTCCCCTTTGTTGTTTTTTTTTTCGTACGTGCCCCTAGCAGGAACTGAACCCGGGACTTTCTGGACCGCAGGCCAATGCTCCAACCGCTGAGCCAAACCGGGGCCAGGGCCCCCTTTGTTTTTCATGTAACATGTTTGTAGGTTTTGGGTATCAGGACATGCATATCTTTGTGAGGCCATTATTCTGCCTACCAGAAAAACATTACATTTCAGAGAATTCACACTGCAATAAATTCCTACCTAGCCATTAAATTTGGAAAAGCATATCCCCAGAGAAGCAATGATTTATAGTAATTATGATCTAAATACATTAACACATTTCTATAATGGAATCTTTAATGGTCTTGAAATGTGTAATCAAATTATCAGCACTTGAAAAGAACTATTAAATATCCTAAAGGAACATGAGGTGTATGCTGCTGAAAATGTTGCCAAACATTTTTGTTTCTATTCTGAAATTCTATAAATTAACACATCCTATTCTGAATATGGAATGTGTATACCATAATGAATCTACATACTGACCAGCATTTTTTATAGCCAAGTTTAACAACATTTTCTTTAAAAAAAATTTTTTTTCTTTTATTGATTTTAGAGAGAGAGGAAGGGAGAGGGAGAGAGAGATAGAAACATCGATGAGAGAGCACATTGATTGGCTGCCTTCTGCATGTCCCCAACTGGGCATTTGGCCCACAACCTGGGCATATGCCCTGACCAGGAATCGAATCAGTGACCTCTTGGTGCATGGGTCAATGCTCAACAACACCAGCCACATCAACCAAGCCAACAACCTTTTCTGTAACAGTAAAGGTTTATATACCCTTCATCTTAAATAACTAAAAAAATATTAATATATATATACAAAATACATGAATGGACTATTTCCAGGCATTGGGTAATAGCTCAGGACAGCTGTCCCTGAGAAAAAGAGAACAAAGGCCTTGAGTCTTGTTATTGTCCCAGTTTACCGCCTGGAGAGAGATTTTATTGGGCAGTATTGGGGGAGAAACCCAAACAGATCCCAGCAGTCTCCCTGAACTGAGCTGGAGTTCAGAGTATGGAGAATTCAAAATGGCTCATATTCATGGGACAGCTTACAGCAGAGAGAGCTGCACCTAGGGAGTGAGAGCCCCAGAGTTCTATAGAACTCCCCAAGTTTCAAAGTTGCAGTCAGCACATATGTGTGAGGAAACTCTATTAGGCTGGAGAAAGAACTGCTAGAGACGAAAAGCAGAACCATCTTTGGAGCTTGCGTGAAGTTGAGAATAATTTGTGTTTACACCAGTTCAGATGGAAAACACTTAACATTTGGAGAATCACAGTGGACCATCAGCAGTGTATTGGCTCAGTGGGTGGTTTAAATTGGATTTATACTAAAGGCTGCTAGAAACTCTCTTAACACATTTTTGACGGCTCACAAGTTAACTTGTATTTTCCTGCCCATACGTTGTGGACCACGCACGAGTTAACGCGGGTTTTCCTGCCCAAACGTTGCGGACCGCGTATGAGTTAACTTGGGTTTACACTTGCATTAACTATTTCAGTTTTTGAAACTCAGGGTAATATAGGATTATTGTATTTGTGACTCTTCACCCTGAGGGTCGAAGTTCAAAAAACAGCACACTCTTCTATATTCTTGAAGTATCTAGGGAATGGATATCTGCTGGTTCAAATAAGTGTGGCTCAGAACCTAATGTGCAGTTTGCCCAAAAACGTGCGGTCGCTGGTGTATGTCTTAGAGATTTCTATGTGGTACGCAATGTGTTAACAAAGCATAAATGAAAGACACTAAAGGGCTTGTTTCCAAATAATGTAATTGCTCTCTAGAACAAAGCCAATAGTATTCAAAGGAATAGGAGGCAATCCATCAACATGTAAATTGAAGGTATAAAATATGTTGATTTGGCACATAATATGACAAGATAGATTTAATGTTATTTTTACTTTTTTTCCACAATAAATATTAAAAGCTATTGCACAGAGATTTAGTCTTGGTAACTTATGATGTAAACAAACATACACCTATAGATCTTTTTCACATCAGTAATGATCACCACAAATTGAGAAGAATGTGTTATTACAGGGATTAATGTCATTTGAGGATTTGTCTGTGGCCTTTACCTGGGACAAGTGGTGGCTGTAAGAACCTGTATCAGAATGTGATGTTGGAGAATTAAGCAACCTGTGACACTGGTTACAGATGATTGCCCTGTGTCATTCAGAGTGTGCACAGCCAACAGCCTTTCCTTTTTCAGTTACCTTGGCTTCCAAAGAGCTTGTAGACACTGGACTTGAGTTTATAGGCAGTAGATTCTTCGTCCCTCTTCTGTTCCCAGATAGAACTTAATGTGCTCTCACTTTGCGTAGGTCTTCAATCTGCCAAAGTGAAAGTGTGTCAGTTCCTGAAACATTTTGTGCTCTTTCTAGACATCCTCTCTCCAAGTCCAATGATAAAGTGTCCAAGTCTTTGTCATTTCCCATGAACAGGCTATCAAGCTACCAAACCAGATATTGTCCTTAATTTTGAGAATGGAGAAGAATCATGGAGAATAGAAGATGAAATGCAATGTCAGTGCTTCTCAGGTGAGTGAGCAACTGAGAAAAAGTAAGATGTGAGACTCTTTAAAGTAAATTAGTTGGCCATGAAGGAATAACTCCTTCCAAATGTGTTTTAACAAGGCTAAAACTTTGAAGGTTATTACAGATACCCCTGGCCAGTTTGGCTCAGCGGTTGGAGCGTCGGCCTGTGGACCAGAGAGTCCCAGGTTCGGTTCCCGCTAGGGGCACATACCAAAAAAAAAAAAAAAAAAAAAAATCAATAATGAAGGTTATTACAGATACCTAAATCATTGATGAGGCTCTGTGTTTCAGGGACAGTCAGCCTCATTTTCTCTCTTTTGGATTGATCCAGTGTTCAGTAGAATGTTTCCTTTGCGGCATCCAGATGTCCTCCTCTTCTTTCTCTCTTGAAATGTGACTACCTGTTTTCTATACATCTCTTTTTTCCACAACTTTTACCTGATCAAATAATATAACAATTCTTACAGGAGCACTATTAATATTGGGTATTTGGCCCACTGTCCAGGTGGACTTCTATGGGCCATGTGAGTGTGCATCAGAGCAAATCAGAGCAGTGGTTCTCAACCTTCCTAATGCCGCCACCGTTTAATACAGTTTCTCGTGTTGTGGTGACCCCCAACCATAAAATTATTTTCGTTGCTACTTCATAACTGTAATTTTGCTACAGTTATGTATTAGGTGACCCCTGTGAAAGGGTCGTTTGACCCCCAAAGGGGCCATGACCCACAGGTTGAAAACCGCTGAATTAGAAGATGGAACTGTTGACCACATGGTGTTCTCTAAATATGATATTAGAGCCTTGGAAAGGTTTATTGTCTGTTACATGCAGAATTAGAGAAGAAAATCAGTAAGAGAGGAAAACTCATCTTTAAGTGAGAAGCTGAGGGTCCCTCCTCCTAACCTGCTTCCACAAATATTTGTTCAAAACTTAAGTTGGTGTCTTTCCTTGGTAATCATTGTTTATGCCTAATGGGTAGAACTTCTCTATTCTCTGGGCATCTTCTGAAGTTTTCAGAGTCAGAGAACATGAAGCTTCATCCTTGCCTATTTCTGTCACTTGTTCCCAGTGTGATCTTATTCAGTTTCATGGCCTTAGCAATAGTGATTATATGCTGATGATTCCCAAGCTTCTATAGGCCAGATCTCCCTCTATTCCCACATATTTACCTGGCTATTTCATTTCTGCACATGAAGATCTAATTGCTACCTCAAACGTCATGTCACTCTTGGTTCCTTCTTTTCTTTTACACCACAAATGTAATTTACTAGAAAGTCTAGTGTTTCTCTTTCTTATATCTTGGGGTCCTCCACTCCTTTCTGTAACTATTGTTTTCACTCGAGCCTCAGTACCCATGATCTCTTGCCAATATTATTATTATTTTCTTTTAAATTTTCTCACTTTTTTGCTCTTGATTCTCTAGTCTCTATTAATAGCTGTGTTTTTGTCTTATTTATTTATAAAAAGGAAGTACTGGACGTCAGTATTTCCAGTCCCCTCACTCCCCAAATTTATGAACATAGAAATAAACTTCAGAAACATCTGGAATTTTAAAGACATCAGATTTTGACAGTTACCTGGATAGGAAAAAAAGGGGTATAGAAGATCATTAAACCACCATATAGAAAGAACAGTCTTCTGAGTTGGATGGTGGAGGAAAAGATCTAAAATATAATCTAAGAAAAATGCTATATGACATAGCAGATTTTTACCAATTTCTACAACCACAGTCCACAAGCCTACAAATAGTATTTATGCCACCATATTTAAGACCTTGCCAATGTGGTAACTGATGCATATACACTCAGGATGACATTTTAAAAATGAAAATTGTATCCTGTCTTCTCTCTCCTACCATTACATTGAATGGCATCCTGTTACTATTAACATAATATCCACATTTCTTTCAGGATCCTCATGTGTGAGCATTTCCTGACTCCTGCCTAAATTTTTATTTGCTTTCTTTATGTAAAGTTTTTTTTGAAGTATACACACTCAGAGAAGTATACTAATAATATAAGGGCATGGCTGAATTGATTTTTTTTTTTTATCCTCACCCAAGGACATTTTTCCATTTTTTACTCAGATAGAGTGGGAAGGAGAGAGAGGAAGAGAGAGAAACATCGATGTGAAAGGGACACATCGAGTGGCCGCCACCCACAAGACCCAACCAGGGCCGGGGACAAACTGCAGGCAAGGTACATGCCCTTAGCAGGAACCGAACTCGGGTCTCTGTGGACCGCAGGCTGATGCTCTAACCACTGAGCCAAACCGGCCAGGGCTGAATTGATTTTTATAATCAGCACTCCATGTAACCAGCACCTGGATGCAGAGGACCAGGATACTGTGCGGGATGCCACTGTGAATGGAAAACAGTTGATCTATCCTACGTTCAGGCCATTATGAGTAATGTAGTGCGCTTCCTTTATTTTTAATTTTTCTCCTTTTGAAAATGTTGATTTCTAAATAGTTTAGACTTAGAAATCTCAAAATTACAATTTTCTTATACATTCTTTTTGAAAATTTCCTAAGTGGAAATATTTTACCACATATCTTTTATCTATCTATCTACCTATCTGTCTATCAGTCATCTCTCTCAAACACACACACGTACATATTGTTTTTCAGAACTCTTTACTCCTAAATACTTAAGTGTATTTCCTAGAAGCAAGGTCATTTTTTAAACATAACCAAAAATCAGTTATCAAACTCTACTGATACTGAACTCAAGCTACAGAGCTTACTCAGATGTTACTGATTGCCTCACTAATGTTTTTTATATTAAACAATTTTTTTCTGGACCTCTTCTTGTTATCTAGCTCATTCTGTTGTGGGTACACTGGCTTTCGTCCAGAATTCAGAGCGCACTGATTGTGATTCAACTCCATTAGGGAAGAAACTGTATGGATGCAATGAATGTGCAGTGAATGCTTGTAAGCCACTTCTGACCATGCCTCAGAGAACTCATGCAGGAAAGAAATCCTGTGATCGTAGGAGAGCCCTTCCCAGTAAGTTGAAGCTAATTACTCATCAGGAAGCTCACACAAGGGAGAGACCATATGTATGCAGTCAATGTCAAAAAGCCTGCATTACAAAGTCAGCGCTCATCTATCATCAGAAAACTCATCATAGAGAAGGGAAATCCTATGCGTGCGGTAAATGTGGGAAAGCTTTTCCGTGGAAATCAAAACTCACTTTACACCAGAGAACTCACTCAGGAGAGAGACCTTTCCGATGCAGAGTGTGTGATAAAGCCTTCATGGTTAGGACACATCTCACTGTACATCAGAGAACTCACACAGGGGAGACGCCCTATGAGTGCTCAGACTGTGAGAAAGCCTTCTCAAAAAAGGCTCAGCTCATTGTTCATCAGCGAAGTCACACAGGGGAGAGACCGTATGTGTGCAGTCAATGTCAAAAGTCCTTTATTACAAAGTCAGCGCTCATCTATCATCAGAAAACTCATCACAGAGAAGGGAAATCCTATGTGTGCAGTAAATGTGGGAAAGCTTTTCCATGGAAGTCAAAACTCACTTTACACCAGCGAATTCACTCAGGAGAGAGACCATTCCGATGCAGAGTGTGTGATAAAGCCTTCATGGTTAGGACACATCTCACTGTACATCAGAGAACTCACACAGGGGAGAAGCCTTATGAGTGCTCAGACTGTGAGAAAGCCTTCTCAAAAAAGGCTCAGCTCTTGATTCACCAGCGAATTCACACAGGAGAGAGACCGTATGGATGCAGTGATTGTCAACAAGCTTTCATCCAAAAGTCAGATCTCACTAATCATAAGAAAACTCATCATGCAGTAGGGAAATCCCATGAGTGCAGTGAGTGTGGGAGGGTTTTGTCCTCGAAGTCAACTCTCATTGTACATCAGAGAACCCACACAGGTGAGAAACCTTTCAAATGTAATGTATGCGAAAAAGCCTTCACATCAAAGGCCCATCTCATTGTACACCAGAGAATTCATACAGGAGAGAAACCATATGGCTGCTCGCATTGTGAGAAAGCTTTCTCTACTAAGGCACATCTCATGATTCATCAGCGAATTCATACAGGAGAGAGACCTTACAGATGCAATCTGTGTCAACAAGCTTTCATCCAGAAGTCAGGTCTCACTATCCATCTACAAAATTGTCATGCAAAAGTGAAATCTTACGGATGCAGTGAATGTGGGAAGGTTTTGTCCTGTAAGTCAACTCTTATTATACATCAGAGGACCCATTCAGGTGAGAAGCCCTTCAAATGCAGTGTATGTGGTAAAGCTTTCACGGCTAAGTCCTATCTTACTGTACACCAGAGAATTCATACAGGAGAGAAACCATATGAATGCAGCGATTGTAAGAAAACATTTGCTACTTTGTCAACTCTCATCGGTCATCGGAGAACTCACACAGGAGAGAGGCCATATGGATGCAGTGAATGTCAAAAAGCTTTTTTCCGGAAGTCAGCTCTTAAAAACCATCAGCAAACTCAGCATAGAGGAAAGTCCTCTATGCAATGACTATGGGAATGTGAGAAAGCTTTTTTCATTAGTCGTATCTGCTTGTGAGACTCACACAGAATAGAAATACCATACAGGCTGTGTTCATAATAGACCCTGCTGGAACTTCTGTAGGAAAGAAATCTTATAGATGAGATGAAAGTTGTAAGTCCTCCATTTGAAGACAGTTCTCTCATTACACCCTATGGATCTCACCAAGAGAGAAACATAAATGCCATGATTGTCAAAATGTTTCATGTGAAAGTCAGGGGCTATGCCTTTAGGAGCCAATACCTATGGATGCAGTGAAAGTTGGGGAATCCCCTTTCCAACCATGTTTGTTATACATTAGGGTATTCATTCAGGAGAGGGGCCCTACAGTTGTGGCAAATACAGGAAATCCAAGAAAAGTCACATCTCGTACATAAAAGTAAAAATTTCAGGAATATTATGATAATGGTAGCATTTCTCAGAAAGTCAAAACTTCGTGACATCTTATACAGGAGAGAGACCCTATAGCTATGGTGAATGTGGTAAAGTGTTCCCAGTTAATGTTTATCTTCCTTATATCAGCATACTCATATAGGAGGAAAACCCTATTGTTGTAAAGCCTTCATCTAGATGTCAAAGCTCACTAATCAGCAAACTCATATAATACATAAATCCTGTTAAACAGGGTATGGAAAGCTTTTGAAAGTGACATTTTATACACCAGATAGTTAATTCAGGAGAGAATCCAAAGGATACAGTTCAAGTCTGCCTTTGGCCACAAATCTCATTGTACAGGCAGGAATGAAAGAGCATGTTGCAGCAGTGGTCTAAAATTCTTTATCTAAAATTCAGAGCTCTTTTAAAATATACATATATATTGATTGATTGATTTTTAGAGAGGGAGGAAGGGAGAAGGAAAAAGAAATATTGATGTGAGAGAGAACCATTCATTGGCTGCCTCCTGCATGCCTCCTACTGGGGATGGAGCCCACAACCCAGGCATACACCCTGACTGGGAATCAAACCAGTGACCTCTTGGTGCATGGGTGGACGTTCAACCACTGAGCCATACTGGCTGGGCTACAATTCAGAGCTCTTTAGTTACCCACTAAGTCACCTAGCAGAGAGGCCCTGTTCCCAGACAAGAAAGTAATTTCTAGATTCCATGAAGGTATTAAATCCTTAGGGAATCATATTTCTATTCTACTCCAGCAAGTACATTACAAAAACACTGCTTATAGTCACTGAAAATGCTTTCTGTGGAGGATTGGCTATTATGAAGCATCATAAGCTCTTAAAACTAGAAACAGACTCAGCTCTACACAGATTTTATGAATGCAATTAATGTGGCAAAAGCATTAGTGATAAATCACATTTTATTTTTGTATTTTGAGTATTTATTTCTGCACAGCTGACTATAGCTTTAATTGTGTTGCATGGGAGAGTTGATGGAATTGTCAGACCTTTTCTGTTTGATGGAATTTTAGATTTGAGTAAAACTTGGAAGCTATACATAGAATGAACTGATTTCAAAAGGATTTAATATAATTGTTGTAGAAAGCATTCCAGAATATTCTACTACAAATATTAGACATTTTCTCTGTGCAAATACAATGCCATTTGGACTATGAAAAAAATCAGAACATAATAAGGATCAGTTGAATAGTGACAAAGGTTTATAGGGGGTATTGTGGTGGTGTTTACTACCTAACATGAACTTCATGTACTGAACTTTGTTATTTTTAGAATTACACGAAAGAATGATGTTTACAGTTTAATAATCTAGAATGTTGAGTAATATATTCTAGTATAAATAGAAGTGCTCTACTTTCTTATAAATCAAAATATAACAAGTAATTTGAGTAATTAATAAGCTACGTTGGGAATTAAACCACATTTGCTGTCCTTATTTTTACTATCATGTGCCATGCAGGGACTTTATATTTATTATGATCACATGTCTCGGGGCACTGCAAACATTCTCTCTCTCCTTAGCATACTCTAAAATGCCTGGTATTAGAAATAACATTGCTGAAATTGGAGCTCTTGAGCATTGCTGGAATGTAAAATGGTTCTGTTGCCATGGAAAACAGTTTGATGGTTCTTCTAAAAAGTTAGACATAGAACTACCATGTGATCCAGGAATTCCACTTCTAGGTATATACCCAACAAAAATTAAAACAGGTACTTAAATATAAATACTTGTACATGAATTTTGATACCACTACTCACAGTGGCCAAAATGTGGAAACAATACAAATTCCCATTGATGGAGAAATAGATAAACAAAATGTGATATGTGTACATATATACATGTATATACACACACACATGTAATGGTATATTAATGGAATATTAATTGACTATACTAGTGAAGTATTGATAAATGTTAGGATATGAATAATCCTCAAAACATTATGCTAAGTGAAAGAAGCCAGACACATAAGACCACATATTATATTTCTATTTATAGAAAATGTGTGGAATAGGTAAATTTATAAAGCAAATTGGTGGTTACCAGGGCCCAGGGCAAAGGGAGAATGGAGACTGACAGATTCATGGGTTTATGGTTTTTTAGAATGATGACAAAGTTTTGGATCTAGATAGAGGCGTTGTTTGCCTAACATTGTGAATGTGGTAAATATCACTGAATTGCATATTTTGAAATGGTTAATTTTATATTGTGTGAATTTTGCATCAATAAAAATGTCTTTACAAAGAATAACATTGTAAGAACCCTGGTACTCAAAATGCAGATAAACATAAACAATTATGAAAAAATAGCCCAGCCAGTATGGCTCAGGGGATCGAGTGTCATCCATAGACTGAAAGGTCCTGGTTAAATTCCCATTCAGGGTACATGTCTGGGTTTCTGGCTTGATCCCCAGTGGGGGTGCGTGCAGGAGGCAGCTGATCAATTCTGTCTCACATTCATGTTTCTCTCTCTCTAAAAAAATCAATAAAAACATATTTTAAAAAATAACTGCTTAGCAAAACAGGTATAAATATATCTGGACTTAATAGATATTATCTCCCCAAATGTTTCGGCTGACATCATATTTGATGAAATTTTAAAGACGTTTGGCAATGGGGTATACACACCTGCTGACATCATTTCTGCTAAACAATCTGCTGGAGGCCTTAACCAGCACAGCTATACAATAAAAATGAAAGGATTTAAAAGTTGGAAATGAAGAAACAGTTGTCAGGTGATATGACTGCCTATGTGGAAAGACAGAATTCACAGACAATCACGTCGAATAAGAGTCCAGCAGGACTGCTGGTTACTGGGTCAATATGCAACTTCAGTTACTAGCAATAGTCAGAATATTTTTGAAAAGTACTGTGTTCACAATAAAAATTACAAAATAATTGGAAAGATTTCTATCTACCCCTTTATTGAAAGATTCTGAGATGACCAAAATAAAAGAAGTAAATTGGTTATCAAATGTGAAGGCTCAATATCACAAAGATAACTTCACCTCCAATAAATAAGTCTTTTAAGTACCAAGACACAGGCAAACATTGTTGAACATGCAAGAAGTGAGGAAGTATAATTCCTATGAACTTTTTGATGAAATGATTGAAACATGAATTTTACCCAGAAGAGATGAACAGATAAACAATGGCAACAGGACTGAGCACAAGCACTAAACACATTTAACCACAGATCAGAGCTGTTAGTAGATTTATTATGATAACTTCTGCATAGGGATTTTAGTTCCAGAGACTAATGTAAGTGCCAAGACAATATAGAAATCATAAAACTAAAAAAATGAGAGAAACAGGGAAAGAAGATGAAAGAAAATGCAAGAACGTTAATATTTTAGTCTAGGGAGGGAGGTAAATATCTAAACTGACATAAAAAAAGAATAGAAAAATAAGTACATATAAAGTATAAAAAGAAACATCTAGGAAAATCTATGGTTAATCCTGGGCAGTAGAAGGAAAGAGGAAATGGAGCTGAATGAATTGCATCATTACTCATAGGAGGGGCTCAAGAATTAGTAGCAGTACTGTCAGAGATGGTAAATGGAGTCACTTTTGTTGATCACGCTGTCTTGGCCCCAGCAATTCAGAAGACAAATTTGGGAATGGACTGAGAGGTTGGTGGGCCCGGCAGGAATGTTCAGGGTTCCTAAAAAAATGTGAGAATAACATTGTGGCAGAGCTTTTCCAATCTCTTGATGACTCCATGTCCCGAGGAGAGGTCATGTCCTTGACAAGGAAACATCAGAACACAGAGAGAGGCATGAACATAACATCTTATCACCGTGACCCTAACTGGGAGCAGGACTTGGAGATGAAGATCCACTTTGTAGACTCTGGAGGAACATCCAGGCACACCACTGAGAGTGCCCTGTCTATCCCATACCCCTGAGACATAGAACTCACCTTAGAGAAGTTTTCTCTCAGCTGCACCAGTTGTTAATTAGTTCATATCTTAATAATCCCCAGGAACTGCTGATGGCTGCTTGTCTGGGGGCTGGCATTTGCAACTTCTTTGCAGATGCACCACTGTCCCTTTGCAGAAGGTGTCAGTGCCTCACAAGTAACAGGATAATTGCAGCTCTTGGGGAGAGATGAACTCAGGGAATCTCAGGACATGTAACTGCTTTGGCTCTTCATGGCTCTATATAGATAGCCACAGTCCTGCTGCCAGTCCCAGTGATAGAGACCAACCCTGGTGAGTATTTCATTGTGGCTCAGAGTTGAATAAGGTTTGAGAGAGTGTGTCCAAGAGGAGAGGGCAGATGAGGAACTGGTCAGGACAGGGGTTTCTTCTTTGGTCTCAGGACAGCTGTGCCTCAACCCTGGATCTCTTTCTGGGCTGATAGAGTGTAGGGAGCATGTCATACTGGAGACACAACAGCAGGCAGGGGGTGGGTATTGCTGAGGGTGAGGCCAGCCTGAGGGGATGAGGCCCTGGCCACTTTGGCTCAGTGATTAGAGTGCTGGCCTGTGGACCAAAGAGTCATGGATTCAATTTTTGTCAAGGGCTTGTACCTTGGTTGTGGTTTGGTCCCCAGCCCTTGTTGGGATCATGTGGGAGGCAACCAGTCTTACCTCGATGTTTTTCTCCCTCCCTCCCTCCGTCCCTCCCTCCCTCCCTCCCTTCCTCCCTCTCTGTCTGAAGATAAATGAAAAAATATCCCCGGGTGAGGATTTAAAAAAAAAGTTTCAAAGAATCTGGTTATTCACTGATTCAAGCAAGGCTATATTGATGTCTAGAACACAACAGACATACAACCAAAATACTGATGATGGAAAGATTTGCATGACATTGACTTAAATGTGAGGCTTTCAGCTTTACTCAGAAGGCAGACAATCAAATAAACACAGTACTACATATGTTATCATTGTCTTGATGCTTTGTGACTTTTTCTTTGAAATATTTGATGGAAGCATGGAATGAAGTTGGTCAGAAATAATTTGGCCACAAATTAAAATTTTTTATGGTTTATCATGGTAATTATTAAATTGGATACAGTATTGTGTATCGATAAACAGTAATGGGTTTGTGTGTCAATGACAACTATAATCCATGGGGAGCAGTTTAATCTATTGACTTAGGGTACTTACTTCTAAAATTAATTGATCGTATCCCATTAGATTATTGTGCAAAAGTAAATGAGAGGATGAGATGGGACTTCCAAAATAGCAATTGAGGGCCTCTGTAAATCCACTCTTTCATAAAAGCAACATAAATACTGGCAAAATTATCAAAGTCAACTTTTCTACAACTCCAGAAAGGAATCAAAAGCGTACGATACCCTGAAGAGCATTGAGTCATGAAAAAAGTCTGAACCACAGTAAAAACTGTGAGGTATGTAGAGTTATCACTGTTGACTCCCATCCCCCTCTCTCCAGCTGTGCCCTATCTATGGAAAAATGGCAGCCTCACAACTACAGTAGCCATGGAAAACACTTGTCAAAAACTATCAGTTTTGCCCTGGCCAGTTTGGCTCAGTGGTTAGAGTGTTGGCCCTTGGACCAAAGAGTTGTGGGTTCAATTCTGGTCAAGGGCATGTACCTTGGTTGCAATTCAGTCCCCGACCCTGGTCAGGGTCATGCAGGAGGCAACCAATCAATGTGTCTCTTTCACATCGATGTTTCTCTTTCTCCCTCTCCTAATTCTGTCTGAAAATAAATGGAAAAATATCCTCAGGTGAGGATTAAAAACAAACAAACACTATTCAGTTTTAATGTTTTAACTCTACAGTAACCTAAGGCTGTATGTAGTATGAGCTGGTGAAAACAACAGGCCAGCCAAAAACTTTAAAAGGAATATCTGAAGAACAAGATGTTCACAAGGAGCTATTAAATACGCTGACACATTCCTGAAGATCTAGAAGGCCACAAACATACACAGGGATTTGTACATGCCCAGGAAATACCTGATGGGCATCAATAATTCACCTGCTGGTGATCTTGAAATCCTGCTTCAGGAACAGACTTGTTAAGTGCCTGAGCATTGAAGTAGGGCCTCATCACACACAACATAACCCTTGGCGAAGGGTAGAAAACACTGACCCAACGTGACAGAAAATTTCTGATCAACAATTAGCTAACCAAGAAAAGACTTCAGTGACTACAAATTACAGGAAAACAGAATGTACAGAAGTAGTCCAAAAATGCCACTAAAAAAACTGCAATAACAAAAGAGCAACAGCAAAAAACCCTGAGGAGAGGGGGAATCTGATACCTGCCATAGTAACATTGTATTGTCTGAAATATCTAGCCTCAACAAAAATTTGTGACACACAAAGAATCAGAAAAGTTTGGCTTATACTCAAGAAAGGTCACATATGTCAGCCTTACTACACAAAGACTTTAAATCAGCTATTATGAGTATGTTCAAGGAACTAAAATAAGTCATCTTTAAAGAAATAAAGTATGGTAATGTTTCACCAAAGGAACTTGTTGCAGGGGCCAACCTTATTACATCTGTTGCCGAGTTGGTAGCCTCAGAGCTTGTTTGTGGGGATTTTGAAGTAGTGGGAAAAGATAAAGTTTTAAAAATGTACAGTACAATAAAATGAAAACTATTAGAATTAATAAGTTTATCCAGTGTGCTTGGTATAATATCAATATACAAGTCAATTGTATTTCTACTACCAACAAAGAGTTAAACAATGAAATGGTAAAATACCATTTACAAGACATTAAAGATATCAAGTATTATGAAATGAATCTAATAAAAATTTACCAGACTTTTATAAGAAACATGAGCTTTATTCAGAGACATGAAAGAAGACCTAAATAACTGGAGTGATACACAATGTTCATGGATTTTAAGACTTCATATTGTAAAGATGTCATTACACAATGATTTATAGATTCAGTGCAGTCCCAGTAAGAATTCCAGACACTGTTTTTTTTTTTTCCCTGGCAGAGGTTGACAAGGTAAGTTAAAATTTAACTTGCAAATATAAAGGGCCAAAAGAACAAAAATCCTCTTGTAGAAAAAGAATATGGTAGAAGGCCTTGCTTTATCAGGTATAAGACTTAAAAAGATCCCAGAGGTAAACCATGGTATTGGCCTAGGAATAAAGAAAAGTTTAGTTGAGCAGAACATTTTAGATCAGAGCCATAGAGCTATGGACACTCGATTTATGACAGAGATGGCACTACCAAGCCGTAGATAAGAGACTGACATTAAATTATTCTGCTGGGATAATTATCTATATCCAGGGAAAGAGCTGACCTCTCCTTCACAGTAGTCACAGAAGCAAATGACTGGGCAGGTTGTGACTATTCAGGATACACAGAATCGTCCTGTGATGTATCTCAGTTCAGCTTGTAACGCAAGATGCAAGGAGTATTTTCTCGTCGTGCACTGCGGTTGCCATTATTTTTGCCTCCGTCCTTAAAACCCGTCTCTCATCACGAAGCACACATCCAGACGCTCTCCTCCTGCCTCGGCTCCACATCCAGTTCTAGTCTCCGGATCCCCATTTTTTCCTGCATCTTCCTTGTAATCGTGTTCCGGTTCTCTGCTCCGAGCCCGTTATCGTACGGACGCGAACGTTCCCAATATGGCCGCGTCGGTCCTGCGTTTTCCAAAGGGCTCCGGAGAGCGTGGGCGCGGCCATTTTCCACCGAGGCCTGACCTGTGATGGGTTTAGCCCTCGGGTCTCGGAAGACTGCGGCGGAGAGTAGTGAAATGCTACTAAGCACCGGTACTGACACCCGCTGTGGAAGTAGACCGACCGGTAGGGAGAAGTCATGAAAACCAAAGGATCGGTTGAGCCTGCCCGGTTTCGGCCCGTCTGCGGAATTCGGTCGCCCACATGGACCATCTCGCTCTCCGTACGGCGCTCAATCCAAAATGGCGGCGCCCATCGCCGCTGGTCGCTCTTAACACAGCTAACGAAACTGTGCGCGGCCAGATTGCCCAGCGGTATTTCCAACAGAGACCAGAATTGTCGTTTGTAGGTATCCAGCTCCCTTCCAGAGCGCTGTTGAGTTTGCGTACTAGCAAGAAACACGGACCAGGCAAACGGGGAGGGGGTAGGCGGAAGTGGCGTGTCGAAGCTTGGCTTCCCCAGGGAAGGTCACAGTCCTCACTTAAGGTTCCGTTCGCTGTCGGCGCGCGTCGTTAACAATACGGCGCCGTAGGAATTCCGGGACGTGAGGTGTGGTTTGTGGTGGGTGTTCCGGGGGGACGGGGCGGGGGAGGGGGGGCGCGTGTTCTTTAAGGCGCCTTCGTAATTCTCGGGGTCGATGTGGGTGGCTTGCCCGGCATCAGTGTTTAGGGGAGAGGGGCGAAGAAGAAACCCGAGGCCGTTCCCGTTGACAGTGACAGGTCAGCTGCGGGTAGAGGAGAGAGACGTTGGGGTCGCCCCTGACCAAGGGGTCCACGGGCATGGCCGACGAGGATAGGGATTGGGGTTAGTCCTCTGGGAGTCTCGTGGCCTGAGTTGCAGCATCCGTGGTCCACGTGAAAATAGGTGTCCGGGAGGCTGTGAATGGGTCGTGAGCCAGGTGCGCTGGAGCAGTCTGGGTCTCCTTGGGAGAGGGTTGGGGTAGGAACGGAAGGCGGCCTCAGCTGGACAGACCTTCGGGTGTGTACTCAACGTTGGGGTCTTGTTTCCCAACGTTTTATACCGAAAAATCTCAAGCATACAGAAAAGTCGGAAGACTAGCGAAAAGATCACCTTTATACCCGCCATTTAGATCCACGAATTAAAAATCGTGCCTTAAAGACTTTGAGTATGTGTGTCAGCTGGTGCACACCTGTGTATACGTGCTAGAAAGTGCGCCAGTTTTGGCGTTTTATGTCAGTTCTGCTACTTGTTTGTGTGTCTGTAAGGTACCAAGTTGTTTTAGTCTACGTTTTCCCATTTAAACAAATGATATCTACTTTATAGGTCCTCCGGAGCCCTGACTGCATGACCTGGGCTAACCCTAATTACCTCGCAAAGGTCCCATTTCCAAATAACATCAAATTGAGGATTACCGCTGCAACATACGAATTTAGGGCCCATAATAGTAAGTACTACAAGTACGTACCTTGACAAAAAGTAGCCATTCAAATATATACCTTTTAAATAGGAGTCTTTCTGTTTAAAACAATTCTATTAATTTGTTTTTATTACATATATTCTCTGTGAATTTATGCTTGATGTTAAATGGAGATCTATTTTTTTTTATCACAATATCATTATATGTTTGTCACCAGTAAAAAACAGAAAATAAAGATCACCTTCAATTTATTAACTGTAAGCCACCTGTAATGTTTTGAAATGTATTTTTAAACTGATTTATATATAATAGGTTTTTAAAAATTGATTTCAGAGAGGGAGGAAGGGAGAGAGAGAGATAGAGAAACATTGATGTGAGAGGGATACATTGACCAATTGTCTCCTGCACGTGCCCTGACTGGGATCGAACCCACAAACTAGGTATGTGCCCTGACCAGAAATTGAACCCACAACCTTCTGGTGCAAGGGATGATGCTCCAAACAACTGAGCCATACTGGCCAGGGCTGGATATTTTTTTTATAACTTATAAAATTAGGTCAGATTAAATGCATATTTCAAAGGCTTCTGATTTAGTTTTACCAAACTTACTGAAGAATGTTGTTTCCCAACGTTTTATACTGAAAAATTTCATACGGAAAATGTGAAAGAAAGCGAAAAGATCACCTTTATACCTGCCATTTAGATCCATGAATTGTTAAAATCGTGCCTTAAATACTTTGTGTATGTGTGTCAGCCAGCATACACATGTTTGTACCTGCTTCTATGTATAGTGTGCCAGGTTTTTCTACATCTTTAGCAATAGTGGGTCTATCATCCTTCTGTTCTTTTCTAATATGATAGCCCAATATTGGCTTGTTGACCATCTTTTGGGTATAAAAGGCATCTCATGTGGTCTCCATATGCACTGCTTTCATTACTAACATGGTTGATCATTTTTTAATATCTTCACTGGCTAATTTTAAACCTGAGAAGTTTGTTTTTTCTTTACTGATTTTTAGAAAATAATCACATATTTGGAATAGTAGTCTTTTGTTACTTATTTTATATTAAACAATTGGCTGGCCTTTGTTCCCAGTTCTTAGGAGATAGCCTCTAAATTGTTGTAATGTCCTGAGTGATAGCAGTGTCTGGGTTATTCATGGTGGACCCTGATGATTTGTGCTAATGAAGTGACACACGGTGGGTTCATAGGTAGATAGTTTAAGCTAGTGAGATGACTCAGGATAGGGCTGCTTGTGCCTAAAACACCATTTCATGGTGATTAGAGGATTGGGGCTTTGAGCTGGATAAAATCAGTCCAACCTTCAGGAGGGTAGGGTGGCTGGAGGATGAGTCACATGGGCAGTGATTACTTAATCATGTCTAATGAAACTCTAATAAGAACTATAGACATTTGAAGCTAGATCGAGCTTCTTCAGTTGGTAATACCCTGCATATTGTTACACACAGATATGCTGGATGAGGAATGTGTCCTCACTCCAAGAGGAAAGGAGAGTGGAAGCTTCTGGTTTTGGATCCTTTCAAACCTCACTCTGTGTCTCTCAATTAGGCTGGTTATGATCTGTATCCTTTTGGTATAAGAAAACTAATTTTGTATATTTTCCTTTCAGATATGTAATAGGTTTTGTCATTGTAAATAGTGGGTTTTTTTTTTTTTTTTTTTTTGGTCCTTTTAAATCTCTCTGTTGTTTAAATAGGTCAGATTAAATGCATATTTCAAATGCATAATTCAATAATTGAAAGTTCAATTAATATTTATATTGATTGTAAAAGCAGTTGCATAATGACAGTTTTGTTTGTTCATATGCAGATTTCATTCTTTTAGCTTATTTTCCCCATTTTACTGATCAGGGCTTGATCTGTGGTACATTTTTATATATGTGTTGCCGAAATGAGCACTGTGATACATTTTTGGGTAAAGATTTTCAGAGTAATTAAAAATTGTGAGTGGCTGTGCTATTTTATTGTCTTTTTTTCATCTGCTGAGATAATAAAATGGTTCTTACTATGCTATCCTTGCATTCCTGACATGAAGTCAAGTGTGCGTTGTGCATTTTTCCTATATATCAGTGGATATGGTTTCCTAATATTTTATTTAGGGTATTTATAGCCAAGTTTATAAATGAGACTGGCCTATAAATTTCTTTCTCATATTGTCCTTGAAATCTAGATCTGGGTTCTTAAGTTCTTTTGCTTCTTTGCATATCTGGTAATTTTTTAAAAATCATCTTTTTATTGATTTTTGAGAGAGAGAGACTAAGGGAGAGAGAGAGACAGACATTGATTTGTTGGTCCACTTTTTTAATGCATTCATTGGTTGCTTCTTGTATGTGCCCTGACCAGAGATTGAACCCACTACCTTGGCATATTGGAACAACCTTCCAACCGAGCCACCTGACCAGGACCAGGCATATCTGGTAATTTTTTATTGGATGACAGATATTATCAGTTTTACCTGGTTGTGGGATTTTTTCTTATTCTTTCAACTACTTTTGAGGTTTGCTCTTGGTCATAATTAAGTTACTTTGAAACAGTTTGATTCTTTCTTTTTAAAAATTTTATGAGTTTATTTCAGCTAAACTGATGACATATGCCAGGGGGCAAGTTCAATGCTCCTGAGAGTAATAGTTTTGCAACTCAGTTTGATTTTTTGGAGGCTTTCTTTTAGCTTTGTTAGGTGGATCCAAAACAGTCTTTTGTCTAGGGTTACTTTGTCGCTGCTACTGAGACAATACTCGGCTGAGGACTCTGTCCTCCCTGTGTATTAGAAGGTCTTTTCACTCTGGCTAGTGAGAAGAGACTATTCCTACCTTCTGTGAGCTCCAGGAATTGTATGACAGCACCTTTCCAATGGCCTTGGTAGTTTCCTCATAGTTCATTAGTAGTTAGCCTGAGACTCAAAAGAACTCTCGGCACATCTAAAGAGTGGATTTTCTCTCTCTCATTCTTTCTCTTCCTCTCTCTCTTTCCCCCACGCCCCTCTCTCTCTGCCTTCCTCCCTCTCTGCCTCTCCCTCCCCCTTCCTACATCCCTTCTTTTCTCTCTCCCTCCTTCCCTCTCTCTCCCTCTACCCTGGTGTACTACCTGGCAAATTTAACATGTTTGCTTTCTCAGGCTTTGAAATCTGTGTCATTAACTTAGCAAAACTGCCAGACTTTTCAGGGGGCTCCTCCTTCCTGTGTTACGGCCTGGAAGGTCTCTCCAGGCAGTGAATTGCAGCATACAAGGGTTTTACCTTGTTTATTTCTCTTCTTCTTTGATTTCTGTGTCTGAAAATAGTTGTTCTAGATATTCCCCCCCTCCCCCTTTTCAATTTGGTTAAAATGAAGGATGATTCTTGTAATTCAACATGGAATCAGGGATTTATTGATTATGAGGGTTTGTGTTTTATCCTTGCTCCATAAGTTACTAGTTGTGTGGCTTTTAGCTACCTGGTGCTTGACCTTTTCTTTCTTGGTTTTCCTGAAGTGGAATAATTATAGTCTGTATTTCATAGGGTTTTTGTGAGGATTAAGTGAGAAAATGTACTTAAAACAGTTCCTTGCATATATAGGAACTTGCTTTTATTATTATTTTCATGCCAAACAATCTTTTTTTTTTTTTTGACTCCATAGATGCTGGCTTCCTAGAATGAGGAAGCTTTTGTGAAGGAAAAAAAGGTAGATCTCAAGTCCAGAAATTATTCTTTGCAGAGGCCACCCTTGATGAGACACCAGGATCAGGATTTCAAGAAAGATACTAAGAGTGGTGGCCATTTCCTGAAAGCTGCTGAAATGACTAAGTTTCAGGTGAGCTTGTTATTTCTCAATTTGTTATCTAGTAGATTTCTAGTGTACAATCAAAGAGAACAACATATATATATACGTTGTGGCCGGGAGAGAGGTGCTGGGATTGGGAGACAGAATAAGTGATTTAGAGTAGCCATCAGGAATGGAAATTTATCTGCATGTCTTAGGGTCCTGCAAAGTGCTAACAATTAGAACATTGCCACATAAATAGCAGGATCCAGAACCGAGTTGCAGACTTTTCTATGATAATATTGGAAACCATCACAAAAGGATAAAAACGTGTTGCAAGATTTACTTTGTACATATGGAGGAAGCATACTGTTCCCTGAAATCAGTAAATATTTCCTGTACCTTAAGTGTGAAGAAATGTCTTTGATGGGTCTTCCTCTTCCATTTTTCTCGTCTAAAATGTAGACCCTGTGAACAGCCATCTTCCTAAGGAAATGTGGGAGATATAAGAGGCACAGTTGAAAATTTAAAATCTCTTTTTCCTATAAAAAGTATAATAAGAATTCTATGTTTGCTTTGGAGTATCATGATTTAATATGTACTACAATCAATTTCTAGTAGGCGGTTCTGAGCATAACATACTTTTTAAAAGTTTTATCCTCACCATAGGACATTTTTGCATTTATCTTCAGATAGAGCAGGAGGGAGAGAGGGGGAAGAGAGAGAGAGAGAAACATCAATGTGAGAGAGACACATCAACTGGTTGCCACCCACATAACCTCAACAGGGGCTGGGGATGAACTGCAACCAAGGTATGTGCCCTTAGTTAGGAACCAAACCTGGGACTCTCTGGTCTGCAGGCCGACACTCTAACCGCTGAGCCAAACCAGCCAGGGCATAACATACTTTTGTATATGAACAACACTGCAGTGACTACTGAGTGTCTGCAGGAAATGTGCACACTTGCTCCAAGACCAATTTCTACCTGTTACCTAGGCATCTGTTCTCATCTGCTTCTTCTCCTGTTTCACTGAACTATTTGCAGTTCCTTGTACCCAAATAGATCAGAAGTTATATGACACAGGGCCATGCTTTACTTCCAGATTTTATTGCAAAACACATAGTAGGTAATATTCAGTACTCCTAAGGTGGGTTGCAGATGATGGTTTTTAGGTAATTCAAAGTTTTAACATTTTATGTTGGGTGAATGAATAAATGAAGAAGTGAATGAAGAATGCACAAAGGGAGGATAGTTTTTAGTGAATTTAGCTCAAAAATGTATATCAAACTAGATACAGAGAACTATTTATGAATTTCCATAGTGTAAATAATCAGAGTATCCTATATTTTATTATATTAACTCCAGACTAAAAAGGATTGTGTTATAACAGGGCATATTGTCATTCAGTGATGTGGCTGTATATTTCACCTGGGAAGAGTGGCAGCTACTGGACACTGCTCAGAAGAATCTCTACCGGGATGTGATGTTGGAAAATCATAGCAACCTAATGTCATTGGGTAAAGACAATTTTTCTAAGTATCTCAGCATAGGCCCATTAATTGCCTGTCTTTTTTGCTACAATTTATGGGTACTCTGATATTCTCAGTGATTTTGAACTTGGACTTATATAGAACTAATTTTAAAATAGAACTTATTTTCTTTAGATCAGACAGTACTTACTTTTATTTCCAAATGAAAAATTTCTATTTAGCTGAGATTTAAACTATACATTCTCTGAATCAGAACTTTTCCTCACAGGCCCCAATACAGCTCAGGTTCTATGATTCCCCCTTGATAGGTTATCAAGCTACCAAGCCAGAAGCCATGGTCTACTTGGAAAAAGGAGACCTATTTCCAAGTCATTTTAGTCCAGGTGAGTGAAATCAAAGCAATGGGAGTTAGTGGAAGCAAAGTAATAGTTGGTCATTGGTGTGGGACCCTTGTTATTTTAATAATTTTCTCATAGTCTCTGAACCTTTACTTAGAGTGAGGAAGAAGAAGAATTTTGTATGACTGTTTCCTGCTTCTCTTACCACCCTTCCATATATGACTCTTTTACTAGCCACCTAGGAGGTGTACCTCCTTTTATCTACCGTGGGTCAGATCTTTGCCTATTTCATCTAGTCTTTCCTTATTTGCTTAATTGTTCTTCAACTGAAGCTTGTTAGACGCAACCAGCCTCCTCCTCCACCTCTTATCCATATTCACATACCTTTTATTTTTTTAATTCCTCACTCGAGGATACTCTTCCATTTATCATTAGCTAGAGTGGGAGGGAGGGAGAGAGAGAGAGAGACAGAGAGAAACATCAATGTGATAGAGTCACATTGACTGGTTGCCTCCTGTGTGACCTAACCAGGGCCGGGATGAACTGCAACCGAGGTATGTGCCCTTGACCAGAATCAAACCCGAGACTGATTGGTTCGCGGGCTGATGCTGTAACCGCTGAGTCAAACTGGCCAGGGCTAACATACCTCTTATATTATACTTTCAGATATTCTTAGGTTTGTTCCAAAGTTCGATGACACCTAGGTTTTTCAGTGCATTACCTGTTACTGTTTTTTTTATTGAATGCCTCAGACTTACATTGTGCAGTTGCTATATCACTTTCTTTCTTTCTTTTTTTTTTTTTATCCCCACCCGAGGACATTTTTCCATTTTTTGTTCAGATAGAGCAGGAGGGAGAGAGAGGAAGAGAGAGAGAGAGAAACATCGATGTGAAGGGACACATCGAGTGGCTGCCACCCGCACGACCAACCTGGGCTGGGGACAAACTGCAACCAAGGTACGTGCCTTTAGCGGGAACCGAACCCGGGTCTCTCTGTACCGCAGGCCGACACTCCAACCACTGAGCCAAACCGGCCAGGGCTATATCACTTTCTTTATTCTCTTTGTGTATTGGCTTGAAATATCATCACCCTCCATTTTATGATAATGGTAGAATTCATTGATTTTTTTTTTTCCCCTAGAAGTAATGTGGCAAATTTATGATTGGTATCAGGAAGACATTGAGAAGGATGAACCTGTGGAGACAGATCATGAACATTTTGCAGTGGGAAAAATATTTTCTCTTAACAAAGTCTTCATTCCAGTTGTAGAAAAACCCTATAAATGTATCTCAAGAGAAATAACTTTGAAACAAAATTCACATTTGAAACAAAATTCAAATTTTCAGAGTAAAAACTATGCAGACATGAACTCTGCTGAGTTAAATGGTTCTGGGAAATTGTTCTTCCATACTTTACATGAAACTTCTCACATTCATGCCCAGTACTATGAACCAAATTTACGTGTGAAGGTTTTCAGCCTGGGGACAAATCCTAAAAAACATCGCAGAATTCACACAGAAGGGAAACATTATGAATGCACTGAATGTACAAAATCTTTCAGGTATAAGTCAAAGCTCATAATACACCAGAGAACTCATACAGGAGAGAAACCCTATGAATGCAAAGAATGTGGAAAAGCCTACAGCGAGAAGACAAAGCTCAGATTACATTGCAAAACGCACACGGGAGAGAAACCATTTGAGTGTAGTGATTGTGGGAAAGGTTTTATGCAGAAGTCAAACCTGATTATCCATCAACGAATTCATACAGGAGATAAGCCCTATGGATGTAGAGAATGTGGAAAGGCCTTTTGTGGTAAGTCTCAGCTTGTTGTTCACCAGCGAATTCATACAGGAGAAAAATCCTATGAATGCAGAGAATGTGGAAAAGTCTTCAATAAAAACTCACACCTCATAGCACATCGGAGGATTCACACAGGAGAGAAACGTTATGCATGCTGTGAATGTGGAAAAGCTTTTGTATATGCATCGCAGCTCATTGTACATGAGAGAAATCATACAGGGAGAAAACCTTATGAATGCAAGGAATGTGGGAAATCTTTTAACAAAAAATCACACCTAATAAGACATCAGAGGATTCACACGGGAGAGAAGCCATATGAATGCAATGAATGTGGAAAAGCTTTTATAGACAACTCACATCTCATTGTTCATCGAAGAACTCACACAGGAGAGAAGCCTTATGAATGCAGGGAATGTAGGAAAGCCTTTAATAAAAAGTCATCCCTCATAACACATCAGAGAATTCATACAGGGGAGAAGCCTTATGAATGCACTGAATGTAGAAAAGCTTTTATAGACAAGTCACATCTCATTGTCCATCAGAGAACTCATACAGGAGAGAAACCGTATGAATGCAGTGAATGTGGGAAAGCTTTCATAGACAACTCACAGCTTATTGTTCATCAAAGAACTCATACAGGAGAGAAGCCTTTTGAATGCAGGGAATGTAGGAAAGCCTTCAGTTATAAGTCATCCTTTATAGCACATCAGAGAATTCATACAGGAGAGAGGCCTTATGAATGCACTGAATGTAGAAAAGCTTTTATATACAAGTCACATCTCGTTGTCCATCAGAGAACTCATACAGGAGAGAAACCCTATGAATGCAGTGAATGTGGAAAAGCTTTTGTACGAAAGGCAGTGCTCATCGTACATCAGAGAACACATACAAGGGAGAAACCCTTTGTCTGTCTTGAATGCCAAAAAGCCTTTAGCAGCATGTCAATGCTTAGTACACATCAGTTGATTCATACAGGAGAGAAACCACATGGATGCAATGAATGTGGAAAAGCTTTCCGCCAAAAAAGCCATCTTATTATCCATCAACGATGCCATACTGGTGAGAAACCCTATGGATGCATTCCATCTGGTCAGATCTTCAGGGAGGAATCAGCTCATTAGACATCAGAGATGTCACATAGGAAAGAAACCATATCAATATACTCAGTATGAGAAAGCCTTTTTTGTGTGTGTGAAATCATACCTCAGTATTCATTAGAGAAGTCATGTAGGGCAAAAACCTTATCAATGTAATAAATGTGGGAATACATTTTCTGTTGAGTTCTTTCTCATTTCACATAAATTCATACAGAAAAGAAACCTAAGAAACACATTAGCCCTGGCCGGTATGGCTCAGTGGTTGGAGCATTGGCCTGTGGACCAGAGAGTCCTGGGTTCAGTTCCCGCTAGGGTCATGTGCCAAAAAAAAAAAAAAAAAAGAAACACATTAAGTGCTGGAAAGATGTTAGTGAGATGTCAGGTCTCACTGAATACAAAAGAATTCACACAAGAGACACTCTGGATGTAGTGAAAGTTAGGATATTTTTCTATTATTTTTGACCTTTGTAAGTTTCAGAAAAACATATCTAGGAGAAAAATCTTTTAAATGCAGTGAATATAGGAAAATCATTTGCCTCTAACTTAGCCTCATGTTTCATTAGAGAAAGGCAATAGGAATGAGTTGAAAAGTTAAAATAATTTCTTAAGAAGAGAAATACCATTATACATAACAGAAAATGAAACCTTTTGAGTGCAAACGATTTTTGATAGGTCATCATAAAATGTTCAGTTTTCACAGGAAAAATCTCATAAATGTTGTGAATCCTAGAATACCTTCCAAACAAATGAGTTTTCATACCAAAGTATGCAGATGACTGAAGAGTTGTGATAAGGATGCGTCTGCCATTAAGTGCAGACTTATTGTGCATCAGATATTTATTAAGAATTAGTATTGTGTAATGATGGTGGAAAAGGTTGTTTATACATAAACAACTTTATAGTAAAAAGTCCTGATCCTGTCACATTGTGTATTTATAGAAAATGTACCACAAAGTGTAGTCAGTTATGAAGAGCAGATAACTTTAGCATGTGAAAATAACACTTTGTTTCATGTTTGGATATATTGTATAGTCAAAGCAGTAAATTAAAGTTTGCAGTTGTATGTCTTTGCTTTATTTCTTAAGTATTTTTGTAGAACATGTATATACTCATTTACAGATTTCACAAGGTAAAGTTGTGTACAACAAAATTCTCGTTCCAGTTTATATATGTAGTATCCACCCAAAAATGCCAACATTGTAATTTTTTTGTATATCGTATAAATTGCAAGAGAAGTAATTAGGCTTAAGATGGAAGAAGACTGTAACATTTTTTACTGGTATATGTAAATGGAACTGATATTTCTTTTCGGCCCTTCGGAATAATTTTTTTTTTAATCCTCACCCGAGGACATTTTTTCTATTTTTTTGTTCAGATAGAGTGGGAGGGAGAGAGAGGAAGAGAGAGAGAGAGAGAAACATCGACATGAAAGGGACACATCGAGTGGCTGCCACCCGGACGACCAGCCAGGGTCGGGGACAAACTGCAACCGAGGTACATGCCCTTAGCGGGAACCGAACCCGGGTCTCTCAGGACCGCAGGCTGATGCTCTAAATGCTGAGCCAAACCGGCCAGGGCTGGAATAATTTTTTAAAACAAATTCTCCTATAGTTATTGCTTATTAAAAAACCATTAAATAATTGAGATATAAGCCTGAAGAGTAATCACAAATTTTCTTTCCTGAACTGAAACCTGAAAAATTAGAAGAAGCTACTATTTTTAAAGAAATAAAGATTTAAATGTCACCTTTATTGGTGGTATTGCTCACATGAGGAATGTGGCTTAGACCCATGGCCAGATGTGCTTCTCACTGCTTTCCCCCATAAAACCTAGTTTATTAGTTTCCTGGGGCTGCATAAGGAAGTACTATAAGCAGAGTGGCTTAAAACAAAGTTCTGGCCCTGGCCAGTTTGGCTCAGCGGTTAGAGCGTCGGCCTGCGGTCCTGAGAGACCTGGGTTCGGTTCCCGCTAAGGGCGCGTACCTCTGTTGCAGTTTGTCCCCGGCCCTGGTCGGTTGTGCGGGTGGCAGCCACTTGATGTGTTCCTTTCACGTCGATGTTTCTCTCTCTCTCTGTTCCTCTCTCTCCCTCCCACTCTACCTGGACAAAGGATGGAAAAATGTCCTCGGGTGAGGAAAAAGAAAAAAAAAAAAAGTTCTGGAGGCTAGAAGCCCAAAATCCAGGTGTCATTAGGGCTATGCTGCTTCTGAAACCTTTTGGAGAATCTTTTCTTGCTTCCCAGCTTCTGGTGACCTGCTGGCAATTTTTGGCATTCCTTGGCTTGCAGCTGCATAAGTCTAGTCTCTGTCTTCATCATCATGGCATTCTGCTCGTATGCCTCTGTGTCTTAATAAAAACACCAGTCATTGGATTAGGGGCCCACCCTAGTCCATTGTGACTTCATTTTATTCCATCTGCAACTACTTTATTTCCAAATACAGTCACATTCTGAGGCACTGGAGGTTAGGACTTAAACATTCTTCTGCAGGGAAAGTCCACTGGTTCTGATACTAATTTCAAGTGTGTGTGTGTATTTCCAAGGGTGCAGGGGGAGTTTCCCACACCAACAGACAAATATCAGACACTAGCAGAATTCAGCTCTTTTTTAACACTATCTACCTGGAGATGGCATGAGATTCCACAGGTTAAGAGTTTTGTTTCAGCCCTGGCCAGTGTGGCTCAGTGGTTAGAGTGTTGGCCCATGGACCAATGAGTCTCAGGTTTGATTCCGGTCAAGGGCACATTCCTCGGTTGTGGTTCGTCCCTGGTCGGGGTCTTGTGGGAGGCAACCAGTCAATGTGTTCCTCTCATGTGGATGTTTCTCTCTCTCTTTCTCCCTCTCCCTTTCCCTCTCTCCTTCTCCCTTTCCCTCTCTCCCTCTCCCTCTTTCTCCCTCCCTCCCACTTAAAGAAAAATAGAAAGAAAAAAAAATTCTCGGGTGAGGTTTAAAAAAAAAGTTCTGTTCCACAAGACTGCCCCCTCCCTTCAGATGGCAGCACAGTCCCATGCTTCTGACCAATGACTATAAATTGGAGGTTTCGGTGATGTCCCTCCAACTCAGAATGCCAATCACAAGTCCAAATTGTTACCTGTACTTCTGCCTGACTGGCTATAAGTCAGTTTCCCACAATCCCCTCATCTGGTTTGATTAATTTGCTAGAATAGCTCACAGAACTCAGAGAAACATGTTACAAAATCACCAGTTTATTATAAAAGGCTCTAACTCAGGAACAAGCAGATGAAAGAGATGATTAGGATAAGCAATATGGGAAGTGGTATGAAGCTTCTATGCCCTTGCCACGCATGCCACTCTCCCAGCATCTCCATGTGTTCACCAACCTGGAAGCTCTCCAGATCTCATCCTCCTGGGTTTTTATGGGGTCTTCAGTTACATGGGTATGATTGAAAAGGAATTTAAGTCACGTACGTAATGTGACATCACCAAACCACAGTTAGGCTGGGAGGTATTCAGATAAAATACCATTTTCTTTGGTCAAGTAACTTTAGATCTTCGATTTCCTAGAATGTTAGTCTAAAATTGGAAGTATAGCTGGTTGGTTTCACCTGCAGAACCCACAAGATGCTTTCACCAGTATCTCCACTTTTTTCTGAGTTTAAGTTGTTTCTCAGTAGTTCCCTTCCTAGAGATGAGAAGCCAGGTGCCTGAAATTGGCGCCTCCTCTGCCACTCCCGCTACCCTAGAATTGGCCCAGTCTCTCCGCCTGAGTCCAGAGCCCAGTGCCTCTAAGCTCCGCCTCTGGCAGTGACCCAACTTCCTGAATATCCAGAAAGCAGACTTTCCTCGCTGGAGCTTTTCTCCCTCTTACTGGCCCCCAGTGATTCATCTCCTTTTTCCTTTGCCATGACCTCTACTTCCAAATACCCTATAATTATTATTTCAAACATTGCTGATTTGAGAGAGAGAGAGAGATACATAGATTTGTTGTGCCACTTTTTTTTTTTTTTTTTTTAATCCTCACCCGAGGATATTTTTCCATTTTTTGTACAGATAGAGTGGGAGGGAGAGAGAGGAAGAGAGAGAGAGAGAAACATCGATGTGAAGGGACACATCGAGTGGCTGCCACCCGCATGACCAACCAGGGCCGGGGACAAACTGCAACCGAAGTACGTGCCCTTAGCGGGAACCGAACCTGTGTCTCTCCGGACCGCAGGCTGATGCTCTAACCGCTGAGCCAAACTGGCCAGGGCTGTTGTGCCTCTTTTTAACACATTCATGGGTTGATTCTTGTATGTTCCCTAACCGGGGATGGAACCCGCAACCTTGGCGTGTGAGGATCAAACTGAGCTACCCGGCCAGGAGCCCTAGAATTATTTTTTTAATTAAAAAAATGTTTTTCTTTTATTGATTTTAGAGAAAGGAAGGGAAAGGGAGAGAGAGCTAGAAACACCCATGAGAGAGAATATCCATTGGTGGCCACCTGTGTACCCCCGACCAGGGACCTGGCCCACAACCTGGGCTTGTGCCCTGACCGGGATTTGAACTGGCAATCTCTTGGTGCATGGGTGGAGGCTCAATCATTGAGCCACACCAGCCGGGCTAGACTTATTTTTCAAGGCACTACCTACTCTGTTCCCTCCCAGAGCACGGTGTCTTTTTTGATGTCTTCCCTCTCCTAGGCTAAGACTGCAGTCCCCGCTATAGGAACAGCCAGGTCACGGTGACACTGGCCAAGATGCCTTAACTTCACTTATTCAAAGCGTCGTAATAGTTGCAGCGTTACTGAAGCGCAGGCGCAGCAGCGGTCCTGGGTGGGTATGGGCAGGGTCCGGTATGCTACTGAGCATGCGTTTTGCCCCTTGCTGGCTGAGGAGGCGTGGCCCTCGACTTCCTTAGTCTCCGTAGACGTATCTTTCAAGATGGCCGCTCCCATGGTTCAGTCATGAATGGGGCCGTTCGACGCACCACTTAACGGCGGAAAAAGAATCCGGGTCTTTGGAAGGAAGCGGCCCTGTTCATGAAACCGCCCCTGATGAACAACGAGAGCACCTCGGCAATGAGTGTAACCGGAAGCGGAAGGATGTATGGAATCTTTTAAACCTCGAGTGTTGCGCTGAGGAGTCTAGTTGCTTGGATACTGGTGAGGCCCCTAAGGAACTGCTTGGGG